ATCATCAAAACTCTTTTTCAGCTCTCCTAAGCTCAACATCTAACTTCTACTGGAATCATGACATCAACTCCATAGGTTAGCCTATAAGGCGTTTCCTGCGTCGTCGATTGGGGGTGCAATGGTACGCCTAGAGGATGCTGGGGAGCTCGTCGACCCATTGTCCCTTGGTGCTGCCCAATCGCTTCTTGAGCTCTCGGAGTATCACTTTGTTTGCGGCTTCGGCCTGGCCATTAGTTTGGGGATGCTCCACCGAGGTCGGGAAGTGTTTGACTCCGAGCTCACGGAGGAAATCCTCGAAGCTCTGCGTGATGAACTGCCTGTCATTGTCAGTAACAAGGGAATGTGGAATGCCAAACCTGCATATGATGCTTTTCCAGGTGAACTTCTATACATTTTCGGTGGTGATCTTGACGAGTGGGCATGCCTCGATCCACTTGGTAAAGTAGTCGATTGCCACTATGAGGAATTTGAGCTGACCCTTTGCGGGAGGAAATGGTCCGAGGATGTCCATTCCCCACTAGGCGAAGGGCCACGACGAAATCATCTGGTGGAGAGCTTCGGGCGGTTGCCGATGTGTGTTGTCGAACTGCTGGCATTCCTTGCATTTTTGCACGTAGGCTTGGTAGTTCGACTTCAATGTGGGCTAGTAATATCCAGCTTGGAGTACTCTGGTCCCCATCGAGCGTGCTCTGGAATGCATGCCGCATATCCCTCGATGCATCTCCTCAACGACATAGGTGGCTTGGGATTCAGCTAAGCATTTCAGGAGGGGAGTGGAGATGCCACGCTTGAACAGTTCATCGCTAATGATGACGAACTTAGCCAACTGTGTTCTCATCTTCCGAGCTTCTTCTTTTTCTTGAGGTAAAGTTCCTTCCTTCAAGTAGCTCCAAATCCCTGTCATCCACCCTCGGTCTGCGCTGTCACTGGTATTGACAACCTTGTCGTCTAGGCTGGGCAAGCTCAACGTTTCCTGTATGATGGTCTGGTGTTGCCCGGGGTGCTTCGTGCTGGCGAGCTTGGACAGGAGGTCAGCTCTTGCGTTTTGCTCGCGGGGTACATGGTGGATTGTGAACTCTTCGAAGGAGGAGATTTGTTGGGAGGCTACATGGAAGTACCTCTGTAGTAAGGTGTCCTTAGTTTGATATGTTCCGCTGAGCTGCTCCACCATGAGTTTTGAGTCGCTGTTGCAACTCACTCTCCGCGCTCCGAGATCGTGAGCCAACCTTAGTCCTGCGAGAAGCGCTTCATACTCTGCTTGGTTGTTGGTCACTTTGAAACCAAACGTCAGAGATTGCTCTAAGGTGACTTTGTTCGGCCCTTCCAAAATAATACCTGCACCACCACCCTTAGAGTTGGAGGACTCATCAACATGTAAAATCCATACCTGTTGTTCGTCGGCCGAGGTTGGCGTCAGTTTGTCCACAAAGTCTTCCAGGCACTGGGCTTTCAGGGGGCCGCGACTTTCATATTTGATGCCGAACTCGGACAGTTTTACCGACCATGCTATCATCTGTTCGGCGAGCTCCGGATTTCTCAGGATTTGCTTGATCGGGTAGTCGATTTTGACGACCACCTGGTGACTCTAGAAGTAGGGTCGGAGGCGCCGAGCTGCGGTGACAAGCGCCAGTGCGAGCTTCTTAATCATCTGATACCGTCTTTCCATGTCTTGAAGGACTCGACTGATGAAGTAGATCGGCGTTTGCGCCTTCTGGTTCTCTTGTACTATGACTATGCTAATTGCACCTTCTGCCACGGCCAGGTAGAGGAGGAGGTCAGCGTGGTGATCCGGCCTCTGGAGGACTAGTGGAGTTGTGAAGAAGACTTTGAAGCTCTTGAAAGCTTCTTCACATTGGTTCGTCCACTCGAAGTTCTTTAGCTTTCGCAGTAGGGTGAAGATGGGCCCTGCCTTCTCCGCCAACCTGGGGATAAAACGGGAGAGGGAAGCCAACCTTCCTGCCAGGCGCTAGACTTCTTTCACAGTTTGAGGGCTCTGCATCTGGATTATGGCTTTGCATTTCTCCGGTGATGGAAACACTTGGTGAAGATTGATGTTCATCCAAGCTTCCATGCAAGGACCGAAAATGCCCCATGAGGTTATCACGTTTTGACCTTGAAATTCTCCTTTAAAGAAGCTTCAATGGAGATGACTTACTAGGACAATACAAGTGATTCAAAACCAAAATCTATGCAATATGAATGTTGTCCAATCACGGACACATGTTATAGAACGAAGAGACTCAAGCAAAATTAAAAACACAAGTATAGGAACCTAAAGCACAACAAAACCGGTTTGATTCAAGAATTAGGAGAACAAGCAAATATGAATCAAACAATTATTATGTGACATTTTGGATCCATCAAAGTGTGAATAAAATCTAGATCCATTCAGCAAACATAAGAAGACATGTAATAGAAGGAAGATACAACACGGATTCAAGTAGAAAAGTTTGGAAACAAAACCTCAAGAGCACTAGGCTCTAGATACCAAAAGATGATGGAACTAGGTGAGGAAGATTGGTGTTCCTCAACTCTTCCATGCTTAGGACCGTTTGCACTTGAGGTAGACACTTGAAGAATCTCTGAATCCTCCTTTGAAGAAGCTCCAATGGAGGTGAAGCCAAGAATGAGGTTCGGTTACTTCAAGCTTGAGGTAGAAGCTTGATGAACCAAGGCAAGGTTTGAAGGAACCTTGAAGGAAACCTAAGAGAGGAAATCTCCACGGTTTTTATGACTCTTGAGTTGAGAGGAAAATCTGATTTCATTCTCAAAATATGTTCAAAAGTGTCTTACAAAGTGTAGAAATCAAATATATAGGGAGAGGTAGCTTGTAGGAGAAGCTAACCTTAACCATGGTTCACTAGGAACCATGGTAGGATTAACTTAAACTCCCACGGTTTAGCTAGCTTCTAGGAGAAGCTAACCGCTGTTGGAATGGCGGGAGAGCTCGGACCTCCTTCGCTAACCTCGACCAAGGCTGATGTCAGAGTCGCCTGCGACAATATCATACATCTCAATATTTTTACTAAGTTACACAAGATACATATGGAAAGCAAAGAAACCAATATAAGTATACAATACATGTCTTAGCGGAATAGCCTCCACCACGGGCTCACTCGATGGTGACTCAGCCCGAGGACTGACGGTCAGATCAATCGTACCAGGAGGATCGGTGATCTTCGACGTCACCTCCTCCAAAACTGGAAGATTCGAGGCCTCCCTGACCTCGTCGGGCCCCCTTTTCCTCTTGCGACGAGTCTCTAGAGGAGCGACCTCCTCACCAGGCTCGGGCACCTCAAGCTCCTCGATGTTGGACTTCGCCTTCAGCTCGCGCCACTTACTCTTCCCCATCAACTCTGCAAACAAACATTGCAAACACAATGATTAGGACAACAACACAACTCAGAAGAAAAATAACAAACACAATACCAAATACTCACGCTCCAACCCCCTTTCTTTATTCTTCAAACCCGCCATCGACAACACAAGTTTGCTATCCAAAGGCCACGACAACTCCTCCAGGTTGGCAATGTCATCCCTGTCCGAGTCCGACAAACGTATACAACTCGGCCCGTTAAACTTCGTTGGGCTTTGTTGCCAGAAGAAGGGGAACCTCGGCTCCCCCCAAAATGGAAGACCTCCTCGGTCATCGGATCATTGTTTATAGCCAGATCCGGAAGAACTCCTCTTTAAAGTTTTTGTACGATTAAGAGTAAAGTTGAAATACCCCTCCAGCCTTACTCCCACTCAAAGACACCCAACCTAGAGGAGGCTCACCCAGCTTAAGCTGGTAGAAATGAAGGAAGACAGGCAAAGAGGCATTCATCCCCAAAGCTGAGCACAAAACCTGAAAGGCGAGCAAGAACCCCCAACTGTTGGGATGCAATTGACAAGGGGTCACGTTTATAAATCTAAGAAACCGACACTCAAACTCGTTGAAGGGTAAGCAAACACCGAGGTACCTAAAGAAACAGCGGTACATGTAGAAGAACGGAGTGTTCACAATACACGGCATATACACACGCTCTCCAGGTTGGCAAGGCTCAACCCGGATGAGCTCAGAAACAGGCGACCTATTAATCACGAGTGAACTACACACATTGGTCGAGGTTAGCGAAGGAGGTCCGAGCTCTCCCGCCATTCCAACAGCGGCCCCTCCGATCTCCACCTCGGCGAACCCTGGCGCTTCCTCGGCTTAGAAGTTGAGGTGCATTGTCCAGCGCTTCGACTTCAGCCGGCCCTTGGCGAGATTGGACCACGTCAACATCACTCCCGATGTGACATCATTGTGGAGCGCTAACCTTACCGCCGAAGGATTCTATAAGGAGGATCCAACTTTTGTGGCTGACAAGGCCATGATAGAGAAGGTGGGGCCAGTGGAGGGCCTGGACTTGGCGGAGGTCTTCATGCAGAGGTCGATTGCCATCGTGGATCATTGGAGGCGGCGTTGGCAGAAGCATGAGGTTGAGCTAGAGAGAGTGCGGAGAGGCGTAGCGGAGCTTCCAGCTTTGAAGAGGGATTTCTCCAAGTTGCAGAAGTCGTTGGAGGTTGCTATGAAGGCCAATGAGGCCTATGCCACCCAGGTTGGCGAGCTGGTGAGTGAGTGCTGTGAAGTCGGCCAAGGGCGAGGCTGAGGTCGCCCTGGGTCGAGTGCGACTGCTGGAGGAGGAGAATATCTTCTTGAAAGCCAAATTGCGGGCGGCCAAAGAAAAGCATCTCTGTGATGAGGTTTTTCTGGTTGGCAAGGGCGAGGAGGTTAGTGCCTTGAAGTTGGACCTTGAGGCACTGTCTTCCTCAAAGAAAGAAGTGGAGAAGACTTTTCATGAGACCCAACGCGTCGTGATAGTTGAGCATAAGAGGAGATTTGCCAAGGCGGCTTGCCAGGCCCGATTAATTGCTCCTGAGGTAGACTTCTTGTTGATGCACATTGATAAGGATGTGCGAGATGGGCAGTTGGTGAATGAGGACGACTTGTCTGAGAGTGCTAGCGAGGATACTGCTGCCTAAGCCTTTATTTCTCCTGCCTTCCTTTTGTTGTGATAGACTTAGCTTAATTTATTTGCTTTTGGTGTTGTATTGAACTCATTACTTTTTGAATGAATTTGCTATATATATATTGCTTTTCGCGCTGTTGCTTGAAAGTGAATTTTTGATTCAAAATTTTGAGGTTCAAACTTGGCTTTTAATTTTCGCGTTAAGGCTCGGGCTTGGCCTTAAGGTTCAAACTTGACCATTAATATAATTTGCGCAAAGGTTCGAATTCGACCTTGATTTAATATGAATCGTGCCAAGGTTCGAATTGGACCTTGGCTTAATATGAATCGTGCCAATGTTCGAATTCGACCTTGGCTTAATATGAATCTTGCTGAGGTTCAAATTCGACCTTGGCTTAGTATGAATCGTGCCCAGGTTCGAATTCGACCTTGGCTTAATATGAATCGTGCCAAGGTTCGAAGTCGACCTTGGCTTAATAGGGATCGTGCCAAGATTCGAATTCAACCTTGGCTTAATATGAATCGTGCCGAGGTTCGAATTCGACCTTGGCTTAGTATAAATCGTGCCAAGGTTCGAATTTGACCTTGGCTTAATATGAATCGTGCCAAGGTTCGAAGTCGACCTTGGCTTAAGATGAGTCACGCCAAGGTTTGAATTCGACCTTAGCTTAATATAAATCGTGTCAAAAATAGGTTAGATGGTGTGAGATTGGAGAAGTATGAATGAAGTGGGTTATTCTTATTGAAGTTGTGGGTGTGCCTCGTTAAAAACCCTCTCAACCAAAACCCATTTTTCTATATTTTGGGACAAAAGACTGAGTAGGGAAAAGAGTGCAATAACCCATTTGTACAATTCAGCTAAAATAAAACTTGAGGTGAGTGGCATTCCAAGTTCTTGGGATGGTTTTGCCGCTAAGCTCCTATAGTTGGTATGCTCCATTTTCTAAGTCTTCGGTAACTCGGAACGGGCCATCCCAGTTAGGTGCGAGTTTTCCTTCTGATAGGTCTTTTCTCACCTCGCCTTGTAGTCTCCACACTAGGTCTCCGACCCAGAAAGAGCGAGGTCGGACTTGCGTGTTGTACCTTCTGGAGGCTCGGAGTTTGCAAGTTTCTTCTTAAATCCGAGCCTCCTCTCTGAGTTCGTCTATTAGGTCAAGGTTGGTTGTTGTTTCTTGAGTGTTTTGCTCACTGTCAAAGGTGTGACACCTGTGAGACCAGTTCCCATTTCTCTCCCTCTCATCACTCAACTCATACTTCCTTTCTTCCTTCACTTTGATTTTCTCTCTCAAATTCCCTTCTCTCTTTAGCTGAAGCCGGGAGCAACTAGGAGATCCTTCTTCTCCTTCCTCTTTCATGAAGCCGTGTGGAGTTCTTCTTCATCTTCTTCTTCGTTTCTTCTTCCCGGAGCTCGGATTTCTCGCACCGAGGTAAGGGAAGCTAGTTTTCTTAGTAGATTTTGTTGGAAATGAGTTCTTAAACTCATGGTGTGGTTGATTCCTTGAAGATTGATGGCTATATGTGATGAAAATGGGTTTTCGGGGTTTGATGAAAAATTTGGAGTTTTTGATGATTGATGGATGCATGTTGAAAAAGCTAGTATTTTCGGGTTGTATGCTGAAAATGTGATGTTTTGGACCGATTGCATGTGCCTGGGATGTTGATTTTGCAGGTTTTGGGTGAAGCTGTTGGAATGGCGGGAGAGCTCGGACCTCCTTCGCTAACCTCGACCAAGGCTGATGTCAGAGTCGCCTGCGACAATATCATACATCTCAATATTTTTACTAAGTTACACAAGATACATATGGAAAGCAAAGAAACCAATATAAGTATACAATACATGTCTTAGCGGAATAGCCTCCACCACGGGCTCACTCGATGGTGACTCAGCCCGAGGACTGACGGTCAGATCAATCGTACCAGGAGGATCGGTGATCTTCGACGTCACCTCCTCCAAAACTGGAAGATTCGAGGCCTCCCTGACCTCGTCGGGCCCCCTTTTCCTCTTGCGACGAGTCTCTAGAGGAGCGACCTCCTCACCAGGCTCGGGCACCTCAAGCTCCTCGATGTTGGACTTCGCCTTCAGCTCGCGCCACTTACTCTTCCCCATCAACTCTGCAAACAAACATTGCAAACACAATGATTAGGACAACAACACAACTCAGAAGAAAAATAACAAACACAATACCAAATACTCACGCTCCAACCCCCTTTCTTTATTCTTCAAACCCGCCATCGACAACACAAGTTTGCTATCCAAAGGCCACGACAACTCCTCCAGGTTGGCAATGTCATCCCTGTCCGAGTCCGACAAACGTATACAACTCGGCCCGTTAAACTTCGTTGGGCTTTGTTGCCAGAAGAAGGGGAACCTCGGCTCCCCCCAAAATGGAAGACCTCCTCGGTCATCGGATCATTGTTTATAGCCAGATCCGGAAGAACTCCTCTTTAAAGTTTTTGTACGATTAAGAGTAAAGTTGAAATACCCCTCCAGCCTTACTCCCACTCAAAGACACCCAACCTAGAGGAGGCTCACCCAGCTTAAGCTGGTAGAAATGAAGGAAGACAGGCAAAGAGGCATTCATCCCCAAAGCTGAGCACAAAACCTGAAAGGCGAGCAAGAACCCCCAACTGTTGGGATGCAATTGACAAGGGGTCACGTTTATAAATCTAAGAAACCGACACTCAAACTCGTTGAAGGGTAAGCAAACACCGAGGTACCTAAAGAAACAGCGGTACATGTAGAAGAACGGAGTGTTCACAATACACGGCATATACACACGCTCTCCAGGTTGGCAAGGCTCAACCCGGATGAGCTCAGAAACAGGCGACCTATTAATCACGAGTGAACTACACACAGAGTTCACATCGTGATAAGACATGAACCTACTCTTGAAGGTACCCACATCTCCTCTAACCCACTCATACCCAGGGACAAAGATGGCGGGGTGTGAATCCTTGGGGTTATTACCCCCCCTCTTTTTCTTAGGCTCACTGTCAGTGGCAGCCACTTTCGCCTTACCTTTCCCCTTGGCCTGCCCAGAAGCGACCCTAGGCGACGATAGGCCCTACTCCCCCTCACCGGCCATCGCTCACAACACTACTAACAGAAAGGGAAAAGGGAAACAAAGAAGCTGTTGGAATGGCGGGAGAGCTCGGACCTCCTTCGCTAACCTCGACCAAGGCTGATGTCAGAGTCGCCTGCGACAATATCATACATCTCAATATTTTTACTAAGTTACACAAGATACATATGGAAAGCAAAGAAACCAATATAAGTATACAATACATGTCTTAGCGGAATAGCCTCCACCACGGGCTCACTCGATGGTGACTCAGCCCGAGGACTGACGGTCAGATCAATCGTACCAGGAGGATCGGTGATCTTCGACGTCACCTCCTCCAAAACTGGAAGATTCGAGGCCTCCCTGACCTCGTCGGGCCCCCTTTTCCTCTTGCGACGAGTCTCTAGAGGAGCGACCTCCTCACCAGGCTCGGGCACCTCAAGCTCCTCGATGTTGGACTTCGCCTTCAGCTCGCGCCACTTACTCTTCCCCATCAACTCTGCAAACAAACATTGCAAACACAATGATTAGGACAACAACACAACTCAGAAGAAAAATAACAAACACAATACCAAATACTCACGCTCCAACCCCCTTTCTTTATTCTTCAAACCCGCCATCGACAACACAAGTTTGCTATCCAAAGGCCACGACAACTCCTCCAGGTTGGCAATGTCATCCCTGTCCGAGTCCGACAAACGTATACAACTCGGCCCGTTAAACTTCGTTGGGCTTTGTTGCCAGAAGAAGGGGAACCTCGGCTCCCCCCAAAATGGAAGACCTCCTCGGTCATCGGATCATTGTTTATAGCCAGATCCGGAAGAACTCCTCTTTAAAGTTTTTGTACGATTAAGAGTAAAGTTGAAATACCCCTCCAGCCTTACTCCCACTCAAAGACACCCAACCTAGAGGAGGCTCACCCAGCTTAAGCTGGTAGAAATGAAGGAAGACAGGCAAAGAGGCATTCATCCCCAAAGCTGAGCACAAAACCTGAAAGGCGAGCAAGAACCCCCAACTGTTGGGATGCAATTGACAAGGGGTCACGTTTATAAATCTAAGAAACCGACACTCAAACTCGTTGAAGGGTAAGCAAACACCGAGGTACCTAAAGAAACAGCGGTACATGTAGAAGAACGGAGTGTTCACAATACACGGCATATACACACGCTCTCCAGGTTGGCAAGGCTCAACCCGGATGAGCTCAGAAACAGGCGACCTATTAATCACGAGTGAACTACACACAGAGTTCACATCGTCACCTCTTGGATTCCTTGGCCTTGGCCATAGTCTATCATCCGGGTTGGCCTCGATCCCCCTAGCGGTGATCATGAAACCAAGGAATTTACCTCCTTGGACACCGAAGATGCACTTCTCTGGGTTAAGGCGCATGTTGTGTTTTTTGATCTGGCTGAACACCTCGGCCAGGTCGGCAGCATGACCTTCGGCCGAAGCGGTTTTGACCACCATGTCGTAGACGTAAACCTCCATGTTCTGCCCAATCTGTTGGTGGAAAACTTTGTCCATCAGCCGTTGGTAAGTGGCTCCTGCGTTCTTGAGGTCGAATGGTATCATGCGGTAGCAAAAGTTGGCGTGATCAGTGATGAACGACGTGTGCACCTCGTCCGAGGGGTACATCATGATTTGGTTGTTCCTGGAGTAAGCATCTAGAAAGCTGAGGAGGGCGTGCCCAGATGCTCCGTCAACCAGCTTGTCGATGCTCGGTAATGGGTATGAGTCTTTGGGGCATGATTTTTTTCAAGTCGGTGTAGTCGACGCACATGCGCTACTTCCCCGAGCTCTTCTTCACCAGTACCACATTTGTCAGTCACGTGGTGTATCTGACCTCGCGGATGAAGCCCGCGTTCAACAGCTTTTGTGTCTCGGCGATGATAGCTTTTCGCCTCTCACCGCTGACCTTCTGCTTCCTCTGGACCACCAGTTTTGCCTCTCTATGGATTGCCAACATGTGACAGATAAAGTTAGCATCGATACCTGGCATGTCGGCGTTGGACCATGCAAAGAGGTCGACATTCTTTGAGATTTCGGCTCAAGTTGCTACCGTAACTCCGGGTTGAGCTGTCTGCGTATCTTTGTACATTATTCAGGGAGTTTGCCGACTTGAAGATCGTCAAGCTCGTCAATGGGACTTGGCCGTTCATCATGGGATTTTGACCTTGGATCCAGGTCAGTGACGACAACCTGGGATATGTGAGCTACTTTTGCGCCGCTCTTCGGATGACGAGACTTTCAGGCTTTCGGCATAGCACTACCGAGCTGTCTTTTGGTTTGCTCTAACTGAGATGATTTTCCCATTACTCCCTAGGAATTTCATTGTCAAGTATGGAGTGGATACCACGGCTCCTAGCTAGTTGAGGGTATGCCTGCCGATGATAATGTTATATGACGTATTGGCCTCAACGAGGAGGTAGCGGTCCATGATTCTCCTTGAATCGGGGGAGGTTCTGAAAGTTGTCAATAGATCCACGTACCCTCAAGTGTGGACTCGTTCTCCTGCAAAACCGACTAGAGGTTTTGTGTGAGGTTGGATAAGGGAGTGGGGGATATCTAACCTTAGGAACATCGGCCAGTACAGGACGTCAGCCGAGCTTCCTTGGTCGATCAGCGTCTTATGGACCTCCCAATTGGCGACCTCCACGGCGATGACCATTGGATCATCTTGGTTTGGACAGACGCCAGTGTAGTCGTTGTAGGTGAAGGTGATCGGTGGTGTGCTGGGGTATGGGGCCGAGGTAGCGGAGTGGACATTGTTGATGCTACGCAAGTGTCTTTTCCGTGCCGAGCTGCTATAGCCTCCCCCTGCGAAATCACCTGCAATTATGTTGATGATTCCCCGCAAGAGAGTTGACCCTGTTTCTTAACTTACCTCGGCCTGCACCGCACCACCAGTATTTTGCTGAGAACCAGAGGGTTGGTCCGTGCGAGCTCCCGAACCTCGACCTCTGTCTCGTCCTCGTCCATTGAAGCCTCCTCTGTGACCCTGCTGCCGTTGGACGTATTGTCCGAGGTGTCCTGCCTGGACGAGCTTCTCTATGCGATCTCTGAGAGTGCGGCATTCCTCGGTTGTGTGACCATAGTTCCTATGTATCGACAGTGCTTGGATTTGTCCGCGCTGTTGGGGTTGTGTCCAGGTGGTGGCAGGGTGAGCAGGTTACTGTTACTGGCCTCCTCCAGGATGTGTACTCGGGGCGCATTCAGGGGAGTGTAGAAGTCGTATCTCCCCCTTTTATTTGTCCTAGCAGTCTTTTTGAACTAACTGTCGTTGGTGACCTTCACTTTATCTTTGTGGCCTTGGTCCGACTTCGTCTGCGATTTTTCGCGAACCTGGTCACGAAAAGCAGAGTGCTCTTCCATCTGGATGTAGCCTACAGCTCGGGCACGGAGTTCGTCCATGTCAACAGGGGGCCGCTGACACAGGCTGTCGACGAACGGTCCTGGCTTGAGTGCCATGAGCATGGCATGTAGGGCGACCTCGAGATTCATATTTTGAATCTTAACTGAGATGCTGGCGAAGCGCTCCATGAATGTCCTTAGTGGTTCGTCATCGCTCTGTCTAAGACTGGCTAGAGCGGCTAATGTAACGTGATGAGGTCAGCTCGTTGCGTACTGTGCCGTAAACCGTCTGACTAGGGTGTCAAAGCTGTCGATTGATCCTGCCGGCAGTTGGGTATACCAGGCGAGTGTTGCACCCTTGAGCGAAGTCGGAAAAACCCTACACATAATAACATCGTCATTAGTGTATAGGTTTACCTGCGTAACGTATAGGTCGATGTGCTCGTCCAGGTCAGCAGTGCCGTCATAATGGTCGATGTTGAGAGGCTTCCATCCAAAAGGGAGGGCGTCTCCATAATGCCGTCCACAAAGGGGTGGCGGCGGATGCTTGCCCTATGTCCTGGATCCTGGGCGGGCGCGTTGCTGACTTCATGGGCCGACCTGTTCGTCGGCGCATGTGATCGATGTGTGGCAGGTCTGAGGGTAGGTGCCCTAGGTGCAGTGGGTGGCTGAGATACCGAGTGCCCCTCTTCCTCGTGTTGATTACTCGGTTGAGGGGGTTGATTAGAAGGGCGCCGAGGAAGCTGGGCGCGAATACGCTCATTCTCGGCGCGTAACGCCGCTAGGTCAGACTCATTCGCGGCACGCAGCGCTGCTAGGTCAGTTTCATGCTTGGCACAAATGCTCTACAGGTCGAAGGCGTGTTGCTGTCGCATCTGCTTGACCTGTTCGATCAGTCTTCTCAGTACTGCTTCGCTGTCCATTCTAGCTGTGCGATCTAGGTCGTCTGTTACTCGTCTACTATGGCTTCGGGTGAAAACCATAAGCGTGGCCGATAAGAGCTGTCTTGATCGACTCCACGATGGGCGCTAAATGTTCTTACCGGAGATTGGTCGTAGGGACGATCTGCTGGCAAGATCGGTGAGCCTCCTTTGCTAGGTACGATTGTTGTTCCAAGACGGGGGTGATACCTGCAAAAGAGACTCCGATGCTAAAGTTAGTGTTTGTAGATGTATGAGTCTCGTATAAGTAATGCACGTACCTTAGTGTGAATTAGAGTTTTTTTGGGCCTTGAGTCTGAGATCAGTTGTAACCTATTTTAGATGTCGGACTAATGTTGCCAAGCGCGTGTCCGAGGTCGCTTTCGCGCTGTGATGCCGAGCTCGAGCTCAGCATAGCGGTACGGATAGTATAATTTCTAATGATAAAAATTAGTATTTTTTAGTCCATATATCAAGACATTAATCAAATTACTGATTAAAAAAAGTCATGAAATTCCAATTACCTCACCTTAATACGAAAAATGAAACGACGTGAGTGGAACTTGAACCGTTGGTTGGAACGCTTCTGAATCAGCGGCAAGGGGGTCCACACTCTTGACTCTTCACGTTTTTTCCTACCGTTGTGTTGCTGTATTTAAAAACCCTAACCCAACAACCCCCAAAGCAAATACACTACGCACCCTTTTCAAATTTCGAACTTGGCGCTCTCCTTCCATTTCTCATCTCTGCAATGGGTGCCTCTCACAGCCGCGAAGATCTGTTAGAGTCTTCCGATTCGGAACAAGAGCAAGAAGAAGCCTACGAAGACGCCACCGAAGGAAGCTCCGAACGCCATCCCAAAACCCCGTCGTCATCCCTCGATGACGTGGAGGCCAAACTCAAAGCCCTGAAACTCAAATACTCCACTTCCTCCTCCTCCTCAAGCCTCGCCGTCAAACTCTACCTCCACGTCGGCGGCAACACCCCCAAGGCCAAATGGGTAACCTCCGACAAATTCACCACTTACTCATTCATCAAAACCCACTCCGAAACCGACACCGACGAAGAAAACGACTCCGACTCTGGCCACGACGAGCAACCTTTCTGGGTTCTCAAAGTGGGCTCCAAAGTCCGCTCCTTGGTGGGCCCCGAGATGGGCCTGAAGAGCTTCCCCGACCAGCGGCGCGTGGACTTCGTGGCGCGTGGCGTCTGGGCGATGAAGTTCTTCACGGAACATGACCACGCCGAGTTCATGAAGTCCTACGAGAAGTGTCTGTTCGAGAACACGCACGGCGTGGAGGCGACGGAGGAGAACAAGCTTAAAATCTACGGCAAGGATTTCATCGTGTGGGCGAAGCCCGAGGCCGCGGATGATTCCATGTGGGAGGATGCAGAGGAAGCGTTCGCTAAAAGTCCCACACCGGTTAGACAGAGCCAGGACCTGCGTGAAGAGTTCGAAGAAGCTTCCAACGGTGGCATCCAAAGCCTGGCGTTGGGGGCTTTGGATAACAGTTTCTTGGTGGGTGATAATGGGATTCAGGTCGTGAAGAATTTCGCACATGGGATACATGGGAAAGGTGCTTTTGTGAATTTCAGTGATGGGTATCAAAATGGTGGTGGTGGTGGTAGTGCGTATTGTACCCCTAAGAAGACGCTTCTTATGAGGGCTGAGACCAACATGCTTCTGATGAGTCCAATGGGTGGAGGGAAGCTTCACTCGACGGGGCTTCATCAGCTTGATATTGAGACTGGGAAGGTTGTGAGTGAGTGGAAGTTTGGGAAGGATGGTGCTGAGATTACGATGAGGGATATTACCAATGATAGTAAAGGTGCTCAATTGGATCCTTCTGGATCTACTTTTCTAGGGTTGGATGATAACAGGCTTTGTAGGTGGGATATGAGGGATCGTAATGGGATGGTTCAGAATTTGGCTGACTCTGGGTGCCATGTGAATACACCTGTGTTGAATTGGGCCCAGGGGCATCAGTTTTCAAGGGGGACTAATTTTCAGTGCTTTGCTACTACTGGGGATGGTTCCATTGTTGTGGGGTCCTTGGATGGGAAGATAAGGCTGTATTCGGTGAGCACGATGAGGCTGGCGAAGACGGCGTTTCCTGGTCTTGGATCTCCTGTTACTCATGTGGATGTTACCTTCGATGGCAAGTGGATTGTGGGTACTACTGATACCTACTTGATTCTTATTTGTACCCTCTTTACTGACAAAGATGGAAGGACCAAGACTGGTTTTTCCGGACGGATGGGGAATAAGATCGCTGCTCCCAGGTTGCTGAAGCTCACCCCTCTTGATTCGCATTTGGCTGGAGGGAATAACAAGTTCCGCAATGCTCAGTTTTCGTGGGTAAGTGTGGATTCAATGCCTGTTTGGTTTGCGGTGCTTATTTTTGTATCTACTGTTATCTCGCAAATTAAGAATCATGATATTGATATCCTCTGTTGCCTATGAGTTGTCATGGACTCATGGTATCAAATGTTGTTATTATCTTTGTTATGCTGTTGTTCTCCTCTATTGTTCTTATATATGGCTGACTAACTGCATTGCAATTTACAAGGACATGTTACCTTATACATCACATGGTTGCCGGAACAGTTAGCTTGTAACATGTTAATTTGCAAATTACAGTACCAGGAGATATTACATTGTCAATTATTTCACAAATATTTACTATTGATACAGTTGGGTAACACCTCTTTGTGTTGCTTCAGGAAATGGGTTAAGGTCAAAAGCTATTACCTAATAAATTTTCCTTTGGTCGCCTTTTTTCCTTATGATGCTGCCGTGATCTTTATTTTGTTTTGTGAACAGAAGCATCGCCTTACCACAATTGAGTCTGTCCCTTCCCACACTCCCTTTTCTGCCACTTGTGCAGTATCTTGTTACATGAAGTCACACTTTCCACCTTGCTTACATGGAACTTTCCCCGCCTCATGTCTTCATCCCCCCTCTTTTCCCGAATGAAAGTCATTTAACAATGGCTAACACAAGTGCCGTGCAATTGCAACTCATGAATAGTTGTTTCTTGACTCTATTATATATGAATCCAAGTCCTTTTTAAAACAAACTATTATATAAAATTCAATTCGTGAGGTTTACTTGTAGTTAAGAGTGTATTCAGTGTTGAGATTAGTAAATTCATAACACTGAGCATGTTAATTGTTTGTTTGTTTTCAAGTGATTTTGTGTTTTCTGTTGCTGAAAACATGGGGATTATGGTGGTGACCTTGTGTTGTGCGGTATTTTCCCACGTCTGACTGTTAATAGATCGTGACTGTTCTGTTCCCACGCTTGCTGAAAAATGACATATCTTGGTTTTTATTGTGTATATTTTAATGTTGTGGAAATATATTTTTATAATTTGAACTTGATTGTTTAGGTGACAGAGAATGGGAAACAGGAGCGACATATAGTAGCCACTGTGGGGAAGTTCAGCGTGATATGGAACTTCCAACAAGTCAAGGATGGTTCTCATGAGTGCTACCGTAACCAACAGGGTCTAAAGAGCTGCTACTGCTACAAGATAGTCCTCAGAGATGATTCAATTGTTGAGAGCCGTTTTATGCATGACAAGTTTGCTGTCACCGACTCCCCTGAGGCTCCATTGGTAATAGCCACCCCAATGAAAGTTAGCTCATTCAGCATATCCAGCAAACGATGATATTCTGGACACAGCCAGTGTCCTTAATCGTCCGCTCCGTTTGCTCAATTAATTTTTAGATGTTTAATTTGTAGGATGTTTTTAAGCTGTAACTGATATTAATATCATTTCAGATATTAATTAAGCTTTTTAAAACACAGGGAAATCTGTGGTTGTCTAATTGTACCAGCTTGTTTAGTTTTCTCTCAAGATAATATTGGTCCAAGAATTGTATAATTTTCATTTGAATTTCTTTTTTCCTTTTCTCACTTACCAATCCCTAATTTAGTTGAGTGCTTCAACTTATGCCCTGTGATGGGAGAGGTCATCTCAGCTTACGCTTTTGATTTGCGTGTTTTGGCATTTAAGATATACATACTATATGAATTGAAAAGGGTCTGGAACCCTAGAAAGTACTAATTCGGTCAATTTTATCTCTCATTGCTCTTAATCTCTTATGAAAATATTTTGAAGACTGAAGTAACATGACTTTATAATAGAAATTTGGAGACCAATAATTTCTGATTACTAGAGTGGTCTTGAAAACGGATGTCTCTAGGTTGGAGGAAATTGCTATGTTATCATGGAGCCTCAGGAGCAGACGTTTGTTATCCAACTCTCAAATCAATGGATAAGTGGGCCCATGTGCTCTTTTGTTATTTTCTTTTTCCCCTTAAACCAACAATATGTATGCATGTGGTTGTTGTGAAAGTGGCAAATTTGAGCACGGGAATAGAGCAGATAATTAGAAAACAATGGCCGTAGCAATAGGAAGAAGCTTCTCCATTCAGCCCCGCTCTATATTCAACAGTAAGAGCTTAGATAGACCTTCACCAGCAGCAAGATTATCGTGGCTTGGGCATGCTGCTACTATCACTCCACGTTGTAGGCAAACTTGTGTAGCAGCGCAACAGAGACCTACATGGCTCCCAGGACTTGATCCCCCACCTCATCTTGATGGAACGTGAGCTCATACATATACACTTTTGTGGGACATCTTGTTCAGCTATTGCTACTATTGCTGCTACTCTTTCTTTTCAAGTCTTAATATAATGGTATGCTTTTCAGTCTGGTTGGAGATTTTGGGTTCGACCCACTTGGGCTTGCAGAGGATCCAGAAAGCTTAAGGTGGTATGTGCAGGCAGAGTTGGTTCATTCTCGCTTTGCAATGCTTGGGGTTTTGGGAATTCTTGTGACAGATGTGAGTTACATAACTTGCACTTAATAAAGAATGATTGTAGAAATGTCTTAATAAAAAATTGATAGAATCTATCAATATTCATTAGTTAAGGTGTTTTTAGAGAAACTTTACTATTAGGGTCCTTGCTTGAACTTCTTTTTAATGTGTGCAGCTACTTCGCGTCACAGGAATTAGTAAGATACCAGTTTGGTTTGAAGCTGGTGCAGTAAAATACGACCTTGCCAATACAGAGACACTCTTCCTTGTTCAACTAATACTGATGGGGTAGAATTTTAGTCATGAGTTGGGGCTTTCATAATTTCATTATCCTTTAGAGAATTCACTGGCCTGTTTGTATGGCTTCATCACTTTTACTTGCACAGGTTTGTCGAAACAAAAAGGTACATGGATTTCGTTAGTCCTGGATCTCAAGCTAAAGAGGGGTCCTTCTTTGGATTGGAAGCTTCACTGGAAGGCTTAGAGCCAGGGTATTTGCATTTTCCAATAACAAAATATATATTTCTCGTATCTTTCTCCCTCGGTTTTGAATCTGATTCTTCATGTTCTTAATGTATTATACTGAACTTCAATTAGTAAACATGGATATGCTCTGCATTCTCCTCAACAACGGATTAACTGTCATGGGGCATTGTGACTTTACTGTACTTGCATTAGTAGACATTGAGATATATATACGATTTGTTTGAAACAGGTATCCTGGGGGTCCTCTGCTAAATCCTCTTGGCCTAGCTAAAGACATTAAAAATTCTCATGATTGGAAGCTTAAAGAGATCAAAAATGGTATCTTGTTGCTCAGGTCTTTGATGTTTATCAATAAATGTATAATACTCTAAAACTCGTTTTAACAGTTGTAAATCTTCTATATACAGGGCGACTTGCAATGGTGGCAATGCTTGGCATCTTTGTACAAGCTTCAGTGACTCATGTTGGACCAATTGATAACCTCGTGGAGCATCTTTCGAATCCATGGCATAAAACTATTATTCAGACCCTTGCGAGTTCTAGTTCGTAGTTGTAGGATGTACTGTATGAATCATGGGGCTTGGGCTTATCCATAACACGAAATTACCTTTTATTTTTCCACCACAACCATACTGTGGTCAAGAATCACGTTTAAATCTAATGGTGTTGAAGCAATTGTATTCTAATACAATTTCAGTTGATTTAATTATTTGTTTAAGCTTTGGAGAAATGTATCAAAATCTGATGACATATATTTTCTGTTTCACTTCATATAACTCTCAAAAGCAAATTATAACAATCAGTAAACCAAAAAAGACATCACACCATTGGAATTTTTTTTCCATTTTAGTTCGTGTATATTGATTAACTAAATATCAAACTTATTCAACTAATTAACTTTTGTTTGCCGATAGAGTATGAATTATATTGGTTTAAGCGTGATTAATTAATGTCAGAATTGAAATGAAATACATCTAGGTGAGCCGAACAAAAGGATCATGTATCCATGAAGCTTCGTTCCAGACGAGTGAAATAATTTAGTCAGAATAGACGGGCATGCTTCCGATTAAATTATATGGATGTATCTATGGATTTGTTTAGCGATAGCAATTATCCCAACTTCCATACGAAAACATTCTACTGCACAATTTTTCCCTAATCAGCATGATAGCACTCTTATGATGCAGTTTTATTTATTTATTTATTTTTAAATTCATGGACATACCCACATAATATCTTAAAAATTCACAATCAAAAAATAATATGTGCTCGTGGAATGCTAGCCAAATATTATTGTTAATTTCATGAAAAATGATAATTGGGTCATTAATTAAAAAAGAAAAACAATTAATGTTGAAAAAGAAACAGAAAATGCGAACACAACTATAGTAATCACTTTAAGCCTTGAGATGTAATCAGCACAGAAAAGTGGAGCACTGGAGCTGAATCCTTAATGACTCAAGATTTGGGTGGTAATCTAGATAATTCATTTAAATCGTTATTCACTATGGACGAACCAATGGCTTCATAGAAATGTGTAAAACCATCATAGCCAAAATATAATTCCTTTTGAGCTTTTCCGAACAAAATCAAAGTTTCTGATTCGAGTCATTTAGAAGCTTCTTCCCGGTATCAATTTAATTTAAGGTGTTTCCGATAATAAAAGCGCAACAAATCTGAGACTCGGAAAACTTTTTCTTTCATTTGGTCAAATCTCAAACAAATCTTTACAAGGGCCGAGGTTCAATATATCAGAAGCCTATACACAATACAGAGTCATCTAATTTTCTATTTTCCCACAAAAGGCGAACTTATTTTTATGTCCCCTTAAAACACTGAGCAGGCCACCATATACCAACTCTTCAGTGAGAATACAATCAAAGCATACACACAGCAATTGCCAACATTTACAGGTTGGTGCAATTGAATAGTCCAACATTTCAAGTCACTGTGAGATCTCCAGAAAAGGATGAGAGCTAAAGACAACTGCAGGCAGTATAATTTGGGATTACCCTTTGCTTGAGTGTTTTCTTCTAGCAAAGAACATCAAAACCCTTGGGAAAATTGATCTCTTTTTCTTTTTTCCATGTTTTGTTTCCGGGGATGATCCACTTTCATCTTTGTTTGCATGCACATTAGCCTTAGCCTTTGGACTTGACAAGTAATGTGCAGGATTAGCTGCATCACTAGAGCGGTCAAAATTATTTGCATCCGTACTCCCCTCGAAACTACCCCTAGGGCTTTTACTCTGGTTAGCCACTCCTTGGCCAAGGTCACCAGCCTTTCTTCGTTGTTCATTTTCAGCTCTCCACTTTCTTAATTCCTGTTCTACACCTAATTTACCTTCCTTTGCCTTCTCAGCCTTTTCCATTGCCAACCTCAAAGATTCCCTTCTAGCAGCTATCTCTCTATTCACTTCGTCCAAGTTTTCAAAGGCTTTCAATTCAGACTCCTTAGCTTTATCAATTTCAGAATTAGCAGCTGCAACCCTCATATTGGCTCGCTCTTCTGCCTCATGTGCTCGTTTGCTAAGCTCATAGTACTCCTCCAAAGAAAGTGTTACCCCAGCTGACGGGTCCACTTCATTTTTGCTTCTGGTTGCTTCACTCTCTTGCAATGCTTTAATTGCTGCTATTGCCAACTTTTCAGAAGCCTTTGCAGCCTCCATCTCCTTTTGACATGCAAGTAATCTACTTTCCAAGGTACTTACTCCAGCCTTGGCTTGCTCTGCTTCTGCCTTTACTTTCTGTAGCTCTTCACGAGCTGCCTGAGCAAGTAAGTTGGCCTGATTAGTCTCTTCAGCTGTTAGTTGTAACTTCTTGGGAAGTTCGATCATTCTCTCTTTAGCTTCTTTCTCCTTCATCTGAACCAAAGCTATTTCTGATCTGGTCTTTTCCAATTCAGCTTCAAGAGACGCAACTGCAATAGAGGCCATTCCCTCTCTTTGCCTAATGGCAGCAAGAGTTGATTTTTCTTGTTCAAGTTCTGATTTTAATGATGTTGCAGCTACCTTCAAGCAACTAACCTCAGCAGTTGCTCTCTCTATGTTAAGATTTACTTCCTCAAGTTCCTTTCTGGCTGATGCCACTGCTGTTTGTATGTCGGTGTGTGTCTTTTTCACTGGTTCTTCTGGGCCTCCGTTCGAGTGTCCTTCTTCATCACCTTCCAGCTTTAACTTTGATTCCATATAAGCAGTTAATTCAGCTTTCAAATCAATCAGCAAAGCAGAGGCCTTTTCCAGTTTAGATTTGAGTTCCTTGGCAGACAAAATTTGCTGGTTGAGTCCTTGAAGCTCTTCTTCTGCTTGCTTAAGTTCCTTTTCCCAATTAAGAGAATCTTGATCTCTTACCATTACTGTTCCTATTCTTTGTTCCTCTGCTTCCAAATGCGTGGCGTGTGCAGTCTCCAACGACTCTTTTGCAGCAATTAGTTCAATAGTTAAATCTTCTACGGTCTTCTCTACTTCCTTTGATGCAGTAACCGCCTCTTCAGCTTTCTTAATAGCAAGATCTCTATCAGCCAATAAGGAGGCGTAATTTTTGTGCAATGCTTCCAGCTCATCTTTCACAGCTATTAAATCTGAAACAGCTGCTGTATACCTGGCTTTGGCAACCTCAAGTTGTGCCTTGGCTGCAACACTTGATTCTTCTGCAACACCCTGCTCCATCTCTTCAACTCTGAGCTTTGCAAGTTCTGAGTCCTGTCTTGCTTTACGCTCTTCTGTTTGTGCTCTCTCTAGGTTAAGTTTTAATTCTTCTATTAGTCTCTTTGTGCTGTCCAACTCCTTTATTATTTGACCTTTTTCCCATTCAGCAGCCTCTGCTTGTTTTTGGTACTCTGGAATCTCCTCCTGCACCTTTTCAAGTTCTATTTCTACATGATTGCGTCTCTGCACACACAGAGAAAACTCAAATTAACTGCAGTTCCAGCAGACAAACAAGCTTGGTCATTAGTAGAAATAATTGATCTTCTTCATGGAAGGAAGAGTTATTATCAGTTTCTGTATTTTGCCTCACAAAGAAAACGATTTTGGACATTAGAAAGCACTTATATAGGCAGAAAAGTACCTATAATTTATTTTCTACCCTGTCTCAGTCAAAATGAATTGATAAGCAAGGAAATCATAAATATATGTATGAAATGTGCGAGCACCACAATTTCTTTATAATGGAAGCATAAGTATTTCACTTGCAGAATAACACAATTCATATTTTTCTTGTAATAATATAATTGGTTCGCTAACAAGTACCCTACAGCACCAGTTAAGTAGCATTGAATACACTCTAAAAATGTTTCTAATTACTTAAAAAACAAGTAGGGAGTTATTCTTGTGGTTTCAATATAATGAATGTTTCCTTTTCAACAAATAATTTACTTATGTTTATTTCACTAGTTCTCTAATGACACTTGATAGCATTCTCCTATCACAAATAGAATCTGCAGAGATTATCACCTTCAAGAACTTTAGCCTGTTTAACACTCAAAACTGATCAGAAAATACATAACTCTGCCTATATATTAGGTGACACATACACAGAAACTAAGATCCCAAAATAAGACTTCATATTCTAGTGTCATAAATCGAAGATATAGTATACTCTCTGCTCTCTTCTCAAAAGGAAAAAAGGCAATTGCACCATAAGGGCCAGGAGCATACTGCCAAGATGGTAATTTTTACATATATAGCACACGTGAAAGCAAATTTTTCAATATGCTACATAAATAGCATCGAGAGAATATAAAGGCTCCATGTTTCTTCTATATGTGTGCATGCCTCATTAGCAATGCTTAGCTCTCTTATGTAACTTGTGTTGGTGGATAATTTTACATTGTTATCATCAACATTAACACGAAAGAAGCCATCAAAGCAACCTGGTTAACCTTTTATCATTAGTAGATGTTGCTTAACTACCACAACTGCCACTGTCAATCAAAATGATACTGAAACTATTGCTTTCATCTTTTTCCCCCATTACAGCATTTACCTTTTGCCTATCTTTAATAGATATTGGTTTATCTTTGAGAAGCAATCAGAACAGTCCAAAGAATTATTTCCTTGAAAAGCAATAAGAGTAATATAATTTGAAATTTTAAGAAGTGAGAAGAAAAAAAATTGAAAAATAATGGTCATACAAAAAGATGCTGAAAAATGCAAAACAGATATACCTCCACAGTCTGGATCTTATGAGCCTTCCAATCCACAATGCCTCCAAACTTGGAAACAGCTTCCTTCACGGATTCAAAAGGAGGTGCAGTATCTATAAGGCGTTTTTTTGCATCAAATATCTTGCCACGGGGGAGTGAGCCATCGTGATCATTTGGCAAATCTTTCGTTTCAGAAGAAGAAGCTGAGAGTCTAATCTCATTATCAGCATCACTGTCAGCAGTGACATTGGAAACATCATCCTGCAATTCATGCCTGTCAGAGGCATTTTCTACAGAACCTGGTTCAGAATCTTCAACTGAAGTTATCTGCTGGCTTTTCTCTGTTACATCAACTGCAGTATCTGGGTTTGAAACTGAATTAACTACAGAAACACATTCATCTTGTAGTATAGTTAGATCATTGGAAGCATTTGACAAAACTGATAATTCAGAGAATTCATTCACTGGCAAATGAGTGTCAGACTCCATTTTTCCATTACTAAGTGGGACTGTTGGAGCTTCAGTGGAAGATTGATTGTCAGGTGGGTTTATCACTTGAGTATTTTCTTCAGGGGGTTCTGCCGATGGCATCTCTTCAGCAATTTTTGTAGTGGATTCAGAAGGTAGCGTGTCGATAACATGTTCTGCCAGGGTTAAATTTTCAGCAATTTTAGAAGAGGCTTCATAGTTGTTTATCACATGTTCTGCCAGTGGTGGCTCTTCATCAATTTTTGAAGAGTAAGCAGATGGTTGGTCATCTCCCGCATGTTCTGTTAGTGGCGTCGCTTTAACAATTTCTGAAGAAGATTCCAACGGTAGCTTGTCTCCAACATGTTCTGCCAGTGGTGTCACTTCAGCAATTTTTGGAGAAAATTCAGATGGTAGCTTGTCTTCAACATGTTCTGCCAGGGGTGTCTCCTCGGCAATTTTTGGAGAAGATTCAGATGGTAGCTTGTCTCCAACATGTTCTGCTAGGGGTGCCTCTACGGCAATTTTTGAAGAAGATTCAGATGGTAGCTTGTCTCCAACATGTTCTGCTAGTGGTGTCGCTCCAGCAACTTTTGAAGAGGAGACAGGGGGTATCTTGTCTTCAACATCCTCCATAGTAAGGAGCAGTCAAGAACGCTAAAAGTGTCTAACCTCTAAATAATAAGAAAAATCAATCAGTGGAAGATGAATGCAAAACAAGAGAATTACAGCCTACGCAAGCTTTTCGAAAAGTATAATTGAAGTAGAAATTAAATATCACCATGTGTATCTTTCAATTTTGAGCGGAATTGCTTCCCACAAGAACAAGTTACAAATTAAGACAAATTGAGACCTTTTTATGGATAATTACAATTTCACAAATCACAAATAAATTTAACCCAAATGGAATATCTAAATGGTATGACAAAGCATCCTAAAATTGATCCGTACTTTTGACAGTCGTGAAGATCTCCTTTATTTCAAGTTCCAAGAACGATTAACTGCAATTCTAAAATTATTTCAGTACGTACAGTACAGTTTGTGATGATTGATCAACGAAAAACAGTCATATAACAAACGAAAGCTCACGTCTTCCCTCTCCACACACGTTTCTATCGAAATGTGATTTGCAATGTCAAACACAAACGAATACAGAACCTATCGGCAAAGAAAGGTAATCCAAACAATAAATTACAACAGAAAAGAAATACTTCATATCTCTAATTTGGAAGCCAGATTAAATCTTTTTCCCCTCTTTTCACCCAAAAGAACAATAAAAATAAAAGCCGCGCATTGCACCATCTCTTGTGGCTAACCTTTTGAAGGAAAAAAGCTTCAATCGTTAAGGATACTACGCGGTTGGTTGCAGGGAAAATACATGAGTGAAGAAAATTCTCACGAAAGAAGAAGAAAATCCAAAAAAAAATATGGAAAAGTCAATTGATATTAGTAGGCAAAGGCAATTGATTTTCGCACGCTCTGTTTCTTTCCTTCCCTACAAGTGTACTCAGAAATAGTTGCAGGCTGTGACGTGATCCGAAACAAATAGAAGAGAAGGGAAATTTATACAAAGAAAGGAGATTATGCAGTAAAAGGTGCGCTGAAAGAGGAAGAAGAAGGAACATACCTGAGTAGGATTAGGATTAGGAATAATATCAATAAGTGGAAAATTGAAAGCAGCGAACGGTAGATACTAATTGAATGTGGAGAATTTGAGGATGAAATTAAAATTAGGTTCTGCAAAAATAAATGGAGGTGGAAAAAGATGGAACTAAAATTAGAAGAGAGAAAAATAAGGAGAAAGATAGAGAGGCAGTGGAGCCTACCTCATCACAGAGATTAGATCCATCTCTACCCTACTTTTCTTTTTCTCTCTCATTTCAAATATCTTTTCATTCAATAATCAATGCCATCACATTACATATTACATATTACATATTTTTCTGTTCCCTATTTACTATTTTCTGCCGCTGTCTACGCTCTTCGTCTTTTATCACCACAATCCTTTTCAGTTTTCACTCATGCAGGTAGATTTTCCTAGTTCGGTAGTCCACAAATTTTAATATTATCCATGTACGAGATCAATTACAAGACAAAAGTTTCCCACTACTAGCCTACCCATTACCCAACCTTGCGTACCTTTTCTTGGTCGGTGCTCCAGATTCTATTTCTTATATTATTCTTTTTTTCTGCCTTTGGTTTTCTATTGTACCTTTGTGTTGCACGGCAGCTTCGCTTTTTCGCCTATTATTATCTCAAGATAATTCGTAAAACTACTCTCCACGATAATCTGTGAAACAGAAGAAAAAAAGTATTTGCTTAGAAAGTGATGGTGTTAAAGCATGAAACCTATTTACTAAGGAAGTGATGGTGTTAAGGCATGAAGCAAAAGGCTACTCTAATATGTAATATGGTTCATAAGTAATTATATTCTTTAGATATAATTTGATTTTTAAATTCATTTTATGAAACAACATTTGCTAAAAAAATAAATATTCTAAAATATTTCTATTTTGAGGGATTAGTCTCGAAATATTCTATATATTATTGAGTATGTGTAATTTAACTTAATAATTTAAAAAAAAAAATTAAGTATGTAATTGGGTTAACTAGTTAGTCTTATCTAGTTATAGTATAGTTGTAATTTTTTTAAACATAAAATGGTAAATTGAAAAATATAACTACTGAACAGAAAGTTAATCACATATCGAAGATCTTCAAATCAAGCAACACTTAGTGATTAGTTGAAACTCAATAGTGTCCCAATTTGACTCATGACTATAAGGTAAATAATCAATGACATACTAGGGATCCTCAAATCAAACAGCAATTAATGATTAGTTGAAGTTCAGTAGTGTGCAATTTAAACTTGAACTTATCGAATTAAGGGCCATCAAAAATCTATTAGAAAGATTTCATCACTGTCATCAAAGGATTTCCTTGAATAGGTATTAGGGTGGGTATATAGATTCAAGTTCGTAGATCGATCCATTTAGCCTGTGACCTACATAAATGTAGACCTTTTTTTTTTTATTTAATTTGTATAGGTATAGCAAAGTTCTTAGCCCGACCATGAAGTTCGCAAACTTTGCATGCTTAGTCCGCGAACTAATAGGTGCTCATTTATTAATAAGTTATTTTTATGTATTTTTTCTCTCATGTATTTATATCATATTTTTATGTTACAAGTATATTTATATCAATTTTTATGAATTTTTTCTCTCATGTTTTCATATGTTAAAAATAAATTTTATTAATTTTTTTAATATTTATAAAAAATAGATATAATTGGATCCACGAAGTGACTCATTCATCTATGGACTTCACGAGTTAAACATAAATTAGAAAAATTAATTATTTATTTTGCGAATTGAATTTATTTGATATGTTAAAAATGTGAGTTTTGCTTAATAAACCTTAAATGAACAAATCAACCCCCTAATAGATATTTTTATCAAAATAGGTTTTTAATAATCATATGAAGTATCAAAATCATTTCATGAAAAATATAAATTTGGAAAAATTTTGAATTATTTGTGCAATCCATAATAGCAAATATTTGCCTCTTAAAAAAAACTAAGCACCAAATAATTATATTAAAAAAAAAATAGAAGCTGATTTTGAGAATTTTGAAGTGTGAGAAATTAATGAATAAAGTGACCGCTGATAGTAAATGATGTAGATTCCGGCATGAGGAAGCTTGTAAATGGAGAGGTCCGTTACGTTATACCCACGTGACATCCATGATACCGACACTAATGAACCGTTCATGATTAATAAGTCTTCATTAATTAACGCCATGATTTGCATTGCGTGTAACGGAATCGCCGAACGAGTGGACCTCGTTAATTGGGCGTTGGGCCCATAAGGAATCCAACACGTTCTCATCCGTTTGATGTTGTAGTGGGGCCCACATCGAGTATTTGTCGGATAACACGAGGGCTGAATTGATTAGCACCAGCACATGTTGAGTTTAAAATTTAAATAGACTAATTTAACCATTTATTTTAATCATATTCGATCGTTTAATATTATTTTATGAAAATTTAAAACAAATTCCCCACTCAATAATGCTGTCTGTATTGGTGACTGTACTGTGAAATTGAAGCTTCCACAAATGGGATCTTCAGACTTCAACGGGAAACAATCCAAATGAGGTGTGAAGCGAGGCAAAGAACAATCCACGATTCTCGATCTATTTTTGTAAATTTAAGTTCTACAAAATTATGATTTTATTTACTGTAATACTAAATATTTCGATATATCTAAAAAATTCTACAATTTCTTAGAAGTTGAGATTAAAAATAATTTATAAATACTTTTATTTTTTAATTCATCAAGATAATATTTCATTGATCCTGACAATAATAATGAATTTATGGTTAGAACATTAATTCTAAAAGAATGATTTATACCACTCTTGTCCCTTAACGCATATAAATACAATGAACTTTCGGTCATAATACTAAATTTTAAATAATTTATTTTATAAACCGTATTTCACATTAATTATATAATTTTGAAATTTAATTAGCTCAATTTTTTTTTGGTGGAACAAAAGGAGCTCAAAGCCCCACAGCTCAATTGAAATGTTGATCTTCAGAAATAAAATGCTTTGTAGAAATTTAATTAATGAAAATAAATGAGTTAAATTACTGAAAAAATGTTGCGAATTATTTTCTTAAAAATATGGTGTAAATAAAAGTTTTGGGGGCCACAGTTTATTTTATTCTGTTGGTTTTAGACCCTACGAGTCCAATGGTGCCACGTCCAAGGTTCCTTTGACACTAAAGTTGGGTTTAATATCTGCGTAAACTTTGGCTTTTGCTGGAGAATCATTGTTAGGTGGCTTTTTGATTTCAACTAAATACAATACGAAAAAAGAAGAGCAGCAAAAGATTTGTTGCGGGGAGTATTTCACATTTTATTGTCTTTTTTTATCTCTTTTTGAATTATTTATAATTTTTCATTTTACTCCATACTTTTTAGAAATATTTATCATCTTTTCAATCAGGATTTTTACTTAATAAAGAGAACAAATTTAAATATTTCAAGTTATTTTCGAACTATAAAATAATCTAAACTAATCTCTTAATCAAATTAAAAATGAGAAGCTTCGTTTAGTTTTATTAATTTTATTAAAAAACCATAACTTTTTTTTATTAATTATAAACTATTTTGGATTTAAAATTAACTGATCTAAATATATATTGTCAATTTTTATATCTTCAAGAAAAAAAAAAACTAAACTAAAATAAGGATTATTTCGTTGCTTTATATAATCAATCAAATATTAGAATCATAAGTACTGTGTTTGCATAAATCCATAACATTTTCTAAGTGCTCCGTTTCACTAATTTAGGGTACAGTGATAAAGTCGCATAACTCATAGGTTTTTTCCTTCTTAAGATAAAAAAAAAAAAAGCATAAGGCCATGGCCATTGACATTTTTCTTAGGGCTCCAATCTTTCACTTTTTTTTGGTGCATGTCCATTACTATTGCTTTTGTTATTTATTTTTATTGTCTTTTTCAATGTATAAAAGAAATATACTTGTAATTTTGTTTTTAATGTTCAAGTCATCTTAAATTTAATTGTGTTTTCGTTTGAACTAGTAGCTGTGTCATGTATAGAGTCAAATTATATCTTTTCCCGCTATGCTTCCTCTGTAACAAAACAAATTAAAGGAAAAAAAATTAAAATAAAGAAATGGAGTGACGGTGAAAATATAAGAAAAGGTTAAAGAGAAATACCAAGATTGGAGAAGTGCTAGGGAATTTCATATAATCACTGGTGCAAAAATTAATTTTAAAATCGGGATTTTAATATCAGTTAAAAGGTAACTGATCTTAATAGTGACGCGGTGACAATTTTGTAAATAATATGAACACTTTTAAGATCGGTTAAATTTTAACCGATCTTAAAAGTACTTTTAAAATCACTTCTTTTATGACCGATCTTAAAGGGTATATCTGACTGTAACTATTTAAAAAATGCAACGCTCTCCCTTAGTCATTCTTCTTTGCATGCGCCTCCCTTAGTCATATTTTAAGATGAATAAATATATTAAGTTAATTAATAATTTATTTAAAATGTTAAAATTTAGTTTATAAAAATAATATTTTAAAAGAGAAGGGTTATAATAATACTGATGTAACTTTTACTAAGTATTACACCGTTCAATAACTTTATATTAAATGTGAATTTTATAAATTCAACTATTAGATTGAAAGTTTTTTACTTTTAGCTCATATATACAAAATTTTATATTAATTTAAGATGATTTGATACTTCATTCTTATAAAACAAAATTGACGTAAGATATACATTTCAAAATATATTAAAATATGAACACTTTGATTACCTTCAAGTTGTTGTTCAATTTTAACAAAATTTGATATAAACATATAAAGTGATATGAACTTTCGATCTAACGATTGGATTTAGAAAATTCACATTTAATATAAAGTTATTGAGCGGTGTAATACTTAGTAAAAGTTATACCAGTGTTATTATAACCCTTATCATTTTAAAATATATAAATTATTATTTAAACTTTTAAATTTATAATAATTTAAATTGTATCATAATATTAATTTTAAATAGAAATAAGTAGATTG